ACAGGGTGACACACCAGCATGGACAGTGGAATTGAGACGTGGAGGTACTGAGACGACATGTTCCTCTATCTCATACTGACAGACACTGGCCCAATTCCAAACTGACCCTTACGGCCCGTCTACACTACAGGCATCAAAAAATCTTGAAGCTGGGCGTGTCTGAAGCTTGGCGATTTTTTGCGAGCAACGCGACCAACAACCAATCACATGAATCTCCCGCCCCCGACATACAAAGCAATAGCAATGTTAAAACGAAGTAAACTGGATATAAAATCCCCAAACAGGCGAAAACCTACCAGTTTCACCCACTGTCTCTGCCACCTCCCTCCATGCCTGGTTCCTCCGGTTTGTATCCCGGTAAATAGTTCTGGTCGTAAAGAACCGGGTGATTTGCTACCGTAATTTCTCGTTTGGAATATGAGGAAATGAACTGCGGTCTGGCTCTCCCAGCTTGCACGCGGTTTGATTGGCTAGCGCTTGTACTGGCGGGAATTGCGAAAACGGGATTTGATTGGCTGACGCCAGCTTCGAGCAAGCATCGAGCCTCAAAAGTTGAACATTGTTCAACTTTTGACGCCGATAGACGCTCGCGATGCTTGCAACGCCTTGCCATGCTACCCACAATGCAGTTCGGCGAAGTTTGAAAATATCCTACGTCACCCCATTCAAATGAATGGGCGAAGCGTTGAAAGCATTTTTTGACGCCTGTAGTGTAGACGGGCCGTTACGGTCCGTCCACACTACAGCTTCAAAAAAAGCTTGGAGCTGGGCGTGTCTGAAGCTCGACCAACAACCAATCACATGAATCTCCCGCCCCTGACACACAAGCAGCGGTTTGATTGGCTAGAGCTTGTACTGGCATATGATTTGATTGGCTGACGCTTCCACCGAAAGCTTCAGAAGCTTCAAAAGTTGAACATTGCTCAACTTTTGCAGCCCGAAACGCCAGGAAAGCTCTGCTCTGCTTCCCACAATGCAGTTCGGCGAAAAGTGACGTCACCCCATTCAAAGTGAATGGGCAGACACGTTGGAAACCGTTTTTGAAGCTGTCGAAGCTGTAGTGTGGACGGGCCGTTACATCCTTGCAATCTGTGAAAGAGAAAACTCTGTCTGTCCTAGGAAATACAGACAACATGCCTAGGAACTGTCCTAACATTTCGTAACCGTAGGTTCAAACAGCTCTTGGGCCAAACATAATAAATAATAATGAAAATATATCTTTAAAACATCTGTATTGTCATTTATTTTCTCATTTTTAAATCTAATGTTTATGAGCCCGTTGGTTTTTACAACAGCTTCTGAAAATATACAAAACTTTACATTTAAATCACTTTTAAGTCTTCTGTTTTTTAGACTACACACAGCTACACATGATCCTAAGAACACGATCAAGATGTTAACATAACCATATCAATTGTCTATCTGATTTTGTAGTAAATGTTTGCACGGAAGTCTTTGTATGGAGCGTGTTTCATGATGGCGCAGCTGTTTGGGTCAGCATGGTTGCAGACTTGCTGTTGAAAGGTTTAAAGCACCTCCACTCCCTGAGTCCCTGCTTGTTGGTTTGGAACAGCACCTAATGTGGCATCACAGAAACGCACAATCGGAGAGGAAGTGAGCAGTTGTAGGTGTCGGTTTGGATTTGATGCTGCATTGGCAGCTGTGGCACAGGATGAAGAGAGGTTCGTTGGACAATCCTCGGCTCTTCCAGTTTGCATTTAGAAGAGTTCTTGGGCTAGAGACTCAATCTTAAATTGCTCCCCAAGGAACACCCTTTGGTATGTGAGTGTGTGAATGAGCTTTAGATTAGATTCTGATGAGCTGTTTGGTGCCTGCCATTCCTGTGTGAATGGTGAAATGTAGGCATGTATTGCAAAAGCACTTGGAGTGGATGAAATGCTAGAAAGGTGTACATACTTTAAGCATCCTTGGGTTTATGAAAGGCGCAATGTGGCACTGTCACTGTGTTTATATATGCTTACAGTGATGCAACTTAATAAGCAAGTCACCTCCTCTAGTGTGTGTGTGTGTGTGTGTGCGTGTGTGTGTGTGTGTGTGTGTGTGTGTGTGTGTGTGTGTGTGTGTGTGTGTGTGTGTGTGTGTGTGTGTGTGTGTGTGCGCTGCGCTGCGTGGGTGGCATGTATTCAAATTAGTTTGATCCTTTGCCATCCCAGATAATAAATAATAGGGGACCATTTCCTCTGGCAGCCAGCCAGCCGTCTGTTCACTGCACAGAGCACACGCACATTCAGAAGAAATACACATACACTGCTGCTATAATTGAATACAAATAAATAAAGAATGCCTGATTTACCTACCATAAAAACACAGAACAGACATAGCAAGTACTGTTATTGATCGGGCAGCAGTATATGCATCATAAACAAAGTGTGTTGCCACAGGGCACATTGATCTTAAACTAGCATGGAGTAAATTAGTTTGGTTCTTAATTGACCACCTTTGAATATTAGATCAGTCAATTCCCTGCTTGTGAATGTTTGGAGCTTCTACGTGTCTTACAAAAAGGGTTTGCTAACAAGTGACTCAAAGAGACTACTCAAAGTCATCACTCTGAACATTAGCCGCCTTTAGCTTAGCGGTGGTGACATGAAGTCAATACTGATTGGATGTACACTTCAAATATCCTAATAGTTAGTATGTGGAGAATATACGGCTGAACAGAACATGTAAGAATCAAAAATGTGTGTTTGCCACATATTCTATTTTCTGCAACGTTCCAAAATGCAATGGAATAATCCCATCAAGGTAGCACTTGCAATGCTAACTTCCGTGGATTTTTGGGTTCTTTAAAAACGCCTGTGAAAATGAGCATTTATATTCAAGCAGATGGGTTTAAATTGGAGTTAGTTGAAAGGCCGATGCATCTCATTCAGATGCTTAAGGGTGCGTTGCGTGTCTGTATCAAAAGCATAAGTATGTTATGGTTGCGCGTCACCTCCGCTAATCTAAAGACGCACTCATTTTGTGTGATGAGTAGTGTATTTGTTATTTGTTAGCAACCGCAGTTTAGAAGATAGGAGCTTGTAACATTCACAGGTGGGGTATTTTGACATATTTTGTGTTGCAGAAAAAACCGGGAACATCTCTTCAGCTTGTATTAACCAAAGACTATGGTTGGACGCCACATTTCATGCTTTAAAATAATGCTAACTTAGAGATGAGGATCTGGAAATTGCAAAATGCTAACTTATTACCGGGTTTTAGGATTCGTTCCTGTACGACTCTTTAGAGACACAACATTGCCTAGTCTTCATGCTAAGCTAGGCTAATGAGCTACTATGTTAAGCTCAAAATGGTATGCACAGGCTAATGAAATAGATGATGTGTCTCACCTCAGTCTTTCTGAGTAGCCTACGTTACAAACAATAGCAAATACATAACATGAACACGAGTCAGTTTTACATAAAGACACTTTATTAGCTTATACATACATCTCTGGTTATAATAATTAGTTATATAATACAAGAAGTCAAAAATAATAACTGTAGTTATATATTTATAAAACTAAGCAGATATACTCTTGACTTTTAGAAACATAAAGGTCTTTGATAATATATTATATATTTAATACTTGTTTCATCTCTCACCAAATCTAGAAAAAAGGAAAGGGTGAAGAGGTTATACAATATGGATTCAGGATGAATGTATATGTGTTTCAGTCTGTATGTGTGTTGTGAGCCACTGTGTCTGCACCTAGTCAAATGTAAAATGTTCCACACTTCCACAAATCAAGTTTAATGAAGACAACAGACCTTGATCATTTCATCTGGTACTGACAAAACTGAAAATACTTTTCTCTAGATAAAGTAAACATTCTGGAATAAATCAGCTCATATTTTCTGGCGAGGAAAGACATCAGCTAATTCTAATCCTGCTAATGCTAAACTTCCTGTCAAGAGATGTGGAGGATCACCAATGGATGATTTAACGTATGTTTTTCTGTTTTGCTAACCACTACGTTTTTTTTGTTGGATCCTGTACTGAAAAGCTCCACTAACCCATCCCCAGTAAATCTGTTTTTTAAAGATGTTATAGACTCAAAAGATGCTTCTAAAGGCCCTGTCACACTGTCCTGAAATTGACACCCGATGGACACACGAATATGGAATTGTGAATTTCGCACGAAGATGGCTCCGAACCACACACGAAGGCAACATTTACATTACATTTAAGACATACAACTGCAATGAAAGTACCAAAAACAATTATGTTACAGTACTATGATACTGTACTGATATCTTCAGACTTTGTTCTTTACTTTATCCGTCGTTATATGTAGAAAATATTACGTTTTCTCTGTAATGTTGTTTCCATAACAACAACAACTTCCTGTCAACTGTCCTTCAAAATAATATATTATATCCTTTTTAGTTTCACAGAACACAAATTGTGTTATTTACATAATATATTTACATGATTTTGTTGTGCAATAAAACAACCAGATGGACACAGGATAAAGGAAATGTTCAAATTCGGCTGTGATCGTAGCAACATCGGGCCATTCGTGAGGGCATCTTAAGCCATCGTATGAATACCGGTGGAGTTTCTCAGGCTCCGGCAGCAACTTCGTGAGCGGTGGCAAAATCTTTGGCATGCCAAAAAATTGCCGAAGGACCTTGCGAAGGTTCATTTTCGTGTTGAATTTGTGTGTCAATTGTGCCCTTCGTAAGGCCATCGTGAGGGCATCTTGTTATCATCGGTGCCATCGGGCATTCGCCCCGATCAGAGTGAGGGTGAATGCACCGATGATAACACGAAGATGACACGATTTGACAAGATGCCCTCACGAGTGCCTTACGAAGTTGCCGCTCACGAAGTTGCTGCCGGAGCCTGAGAAACTCCACCGGCGGTCATACGATGGCTTAAGATGCCCTCACGAATGGCCTGATGTTGCTACGATCACAGCCGAATTTGAACATTTCCTTTATCGTGTGTCCATCGGGTGTCAATTTCGGGACAGTGTGATAGGGCCTTAAAGCTTAGAAACTTCAAGAAAAACTATTTCTTGAAAATTAGACCCAAATAGTTATCTTTGTATTAGTAAACTGTTGCTTATTTCACTGACAATAATGGCAACTGTTTTCAGCAAACTATTTTAATAGAAAACTGCTATGACATGTACTGGTTAAATAAGACTTAGGAAGGTCTTCAAAAACAAGAATGTATTATATCTGATTCGTAATGCTTCTGCAAGATTGAATGCAGTAATGCCGTACAAAAACAGATCTGTAATTTAATTAATAAGTAAAAATAAGTGCAATTTATACCCATTTGTGGTAAAAAAGAATAGATATTTTTCTCAAATCAATCAGGAAATGATTAGTTTACCTAGATATGTTATCAGCAATGGACTGTACATTTATTCTTCATAGATAACGAAACCGAAACATAGTGTTGTTGTATATATGTCTTCTGGCTTCTACACTATCTCCTTAACATGCTCTGACAAAATATTGCAAAAGGCATGTTGTCTGTATTTGAATACCTGGAAGTGTGGAAAGTGACAAGCACACACGCAGCACTGTATACTGCATATGACTGAACACTGACACAAGGTTTAGGATACTCTAACACTGTCAGTATAGGAACAGACCTTGACACAAAAGCATGAAGAATGAAAGCAGATATATAGTAAAACATTTCTCCTTCCATAAACAGCATTACAATTCCTCCACACATCCCTTCAGTATATGTCTTCTCTCTGGAACCCCTAAAGTTACAGCACCCTGGGTAAATGCCTTATAAATACACAGGAAGAGAACTTCACATAGAAGCTAAGGATACTTCAAAATATGGCAACAAAATATATTTACTTCAAATGGAGGTCAATTCCGCTAATGCTGGTTACTGTATTGTACATTGTGTTATGTTTGCGAATTATGCTGTAAGCCTGAAATCTTTCAAGTAAATCATTTGTGTTTATTGCAATCTCTCTTTAAGTTTTGTATGTTTAGCCATCATTTCTAATAACACTCTTCTCACCAATATTAGGGCTGCAATTAACTTCATTATTGTTTATTCTGCCTAAAATGACTAACACTTACCAATACACAACTTGGTAGATGCTAAGTTGACGTTTTTAAATGAATTGCTGAGATCTGGGAATGCAGGGACATGGGCCAGGCTAACAAGTGTGATGGGAAAATAAACTCAATTGCTCAGTAAAACTTTAAAGAAACCTCTAATTCCACCCCAGTTTGTCTTATTCATGCTGTATTTTTAACACAGGCCAGTCATTAGCAGCTCTAACCATTGCATATGTCAGGTACAGCACCTTGATCTTTTATGGAGGTTGTGCTAGTTTGCACAAATTCACTAAATCTGCAACTGGACATGTTGTGTTATTTGCTAACCTTGATCTGCTTACAAAGCAGTACCAATTATGTCCAAATCTTGTCAAGCACACTCAACAAAGCTTTGCTAATGATGGAAAAAAGAAAAACTGTATTATAAAAATGTTTGAATATTAAAGCCTTTCACTGGTGAAACATAAGCAGCAGTGAGAGTTATACAGCTCCGATGACAGGGATCAGATATCTGTAACTAGCGAGTTATATCGTAAATCAAAATAGGGCTGCCACAACAATCTTTAATGTTCTCAGTAAATAGTTTTGCCTGTAAATTGTCAAAATATGTCAAAAATCCTGACCATAATGTCACACAACCATAATGTGCTAAATGACCGGCAGTTTGACACTCAGTAAAAAAATATATTATTGGTTCAGAAATTATTTAAATTGTTGGCAGTCAATTCTCTGTCAATACATGAATACCTTGTTGCACAGAAAAGGAACATAGGAACTCCACACTACCAGAGATTTAAACGCTGAAAATGTACTTTGGCTTAAAACAATAACTGGATTGTGTGACCATAGTTTTCCTGTGCAGTGAGGGATTACTATGGACATGTGTGCACTTACTTTCATTGTAACCTCAAATCTATATGAACACAGTTTCTTGCAATGTTGGAGCAATACTTCCGTTTCGCAGATCTCAGCAATTACTTAGCAATTACAAAGCTACTGTGTATGAGGCTTGGCCAGAAATGTAATAAAACAGATTTATCATTTTAACCCTATTTAAAATTACCTATTTGTGCTTTATTTCCAGGACCATAATGAATTCATTAAATACCATCATCACATGTTGCATCTAAACTACAAATATTACAGATGTAGTAATTGTGGGGCTGTAACTTCCACTTTACTCAGTGTCGTTCTTTAATCCAGGCGATCTCTGTCTTTCCAAAGAGGTAGGAATAGTTTGTTGGCAACACAAAGACTCTCAGCTGTCATATTTATTTTTCTCTCTTCATTGTGACGAGTCTCTGTCTGTACGAATAATAACATTCAGTCTTTTTTCTGGTGGTCCACGGGATATGCATAGCAACAGCAGCAGCAGCAGCAGCAGTAGGGCAAAGAGAGTGTCTCCAGTTTTTTGTTCACCTTGTTTTTATCATCTGCTCACTACTTGTTTTTCATTATAATTTCTCCATATATGCCTCAATCCATTTGTCCTTCTTTCCTTCCATCCCGCTAACAACCCTCCTTCTGGTCCTCGGGGTGTGTGTTTTTGCAGCAGCATCTGATCAAGAGGCATGTCATGGTCAGGAAGCATCAAAGCTGAAAGACAAGAAGGAAACCAAGCAATTACTGCATGTGTGTGTGTTTTCTGTGTGTGAGTGGAGCCTGTGGTCAGCAGAATGCAGAGATCTGTCCTTTCCAGGTAAAGATGGAGGATGATTTATTCAGCCATTAGGAACTGCTTCATCATTAAATATTAACCCAGCGCCATCACTCACCCTGAGGCCAAACCATTAAGGCATGGGTCACACCAGGGTGACCTCTCTCTCTCGCTCACACACACACACACACACACACACACACACACACACACACACACACACACACACACACACACACACACACACACACACACACACACACACACACACACACACACACACACACACACACACACACACACACACACACACACACACACACACACAGTAAAGATGTTTTTCAAATGTCAACTTTGATCAGTCGTTGTTTTTTTCTGAAGATTTGATATTATAAAGCAATACTCATTGAATTTTAAATTAAGTTTTCGGGGCTTTGAGGGCGATATTGTCATTTCCAAAGTCAGTATTGCTTTTTGTATTAGATCAAAAAATCATGTTTTTCTCTTTCCTCCCTAGTGCTCCCAGAAGCATTTGCAAGATTTAACTTAGCCCAAAAGAACGACCAATCAGAGAAGGGAGTTTTTAATACAGTGTCAATCAATGTTTGTGATAAAGGTCAACACTGATCAAATATGAATCATAGTCTGCTTCATTTATTATGTATCGCTTAAAAATGTTTAAAGTAGAAATATTTTGATCGTTTATCTGCAAAAATAGGGATATTTCACCCTGCTTTCAACCTGAAAACAGTCTAGACAAAACCAATCACATGCCAACAGCCTGACAAAGCATTTCACAGCTAAACAGTAAACCAAAAACATTTTTTAAAATAATTTTATGCTGGAAATAGTCAATGCAGTAACTATGGGTTCACAGAGCTAAGATGTATGTGACTCACCTGTCCCAAAGATTTACGCTCCGACAGGAATTGGTGCAGCAACCAGCCGATATCAGAGCTGCAAAGGAAATCACAAGAAATATTTAGTAATCACATCAATTCCAGCACTCATGGTCAAACATATGATTTGTGTGTGACTAAGGCCCTAGCCACATGGAAACGAAAACGAACCGAATTCGATATCAAAAAAGTATTCCGTCCACACGCAATAGGCACCAGAAACGTGTCCTTCCACACGAGACCGCTCGACCCGCTGGAGACGCTGTAGTACATATGCCGGGCCTGTAAGTGGCGCTGTACTTCCGCCACAAAATACACCAAAAGCAGCGAAGAAGACTTCCCGAGCATGCATGGTTGCCCTTCTGTTTATTCTCCGCGCTGGATTTAGCAGCAGAGGTAGGGAGAGGCAGGGCTCTGGCTCTGGCTCTTTCTCTTTTTCTCCCTCCCCGAGGCAAGCGTGTGCTCCTGCTGTATATCTCTCCGTTAGTCCACCAGCAGATGAAAAACACCCACCTCTCCGCCTCTTCCAAGGGACGAGGGAACCGTGCGGTAGAGTTTTCGGACAAAATTAGAAAAGTGCCGGTCAAAGGTCTTCTTTGTTATTTATTGAGCTTTAAAACAAATGAATAACGACTCTATATAGCAGGGGTGGGGAACCTTTTTCCTCTCAAAGGCCATTTCAATTTTTTCAACATCCTCCGAGGGCCGTATACAAATTATTGACCTCTGCTTAAAAAACTAAAATCACAGCCCATGAATTTCGCCTTTCTTTCATGCTGTGCAAAGAAAAAGCAACCTCTTAATCCAGATATCTCACCATGACTCGCGCATGCATGCATGCACGTGCACGGTTGTGGCATGACCACCAAAACAGAAAGATATGGACACAAGATGTGTGCAAATGTATTTAGTTTCCTATCCATGTGAACATGATTTAAGTGGGGGGGGGACCTAACCTCCTCTAGGGGGGTCCGGGGGGCATGCTCCCCCGGGAAGATTTTGTTTTTAAATGTTGAAGTTAAAAGCATCAATCTGGTGCACTTTGAGAGCAACATGAGGAGATCTATGGATACATCTCTCAACATCCATATGAAACAGAACTGGAAGCAGATTTATTTTTCTTTATGGATATTTTACAAATCACTCTTTCAAACTGTATTCTTGTTTATTAATAACAACTTTTTATTTACTGTCATATAGTATTTTATACCTGTTTACTTTATTCTCTACCATAATGATCATATAAAGATGTGCCTTTACCTCACTGGTTGGAGAAAAAGCTTCTTATATTCGTTAGCATAGCTAGCTAACCAGATGCTAATAACAACAAAGTTATTGACTGTATGATCAGTATGACAGATGAACAGATCGCCACTGGGCTTACAACTAAAGACACAGCGACGCAAAAACTGCGGCATGTGTATAGCTCTTTATGGGTACTGCAATTTTTGAAAGTGCCGGAGCGACGTTCTGGTGCTCTCCGTCAGAACTGCACCCCTGTCAGACGAGTATGGGCATAGATATGTGTGTAAATATGTGATTTGTAAATGTAAAACACCATCTACAAATGCATTTAAAAGATTTGCAAACTCACAAATAAATGTGCAAGTGTAAAACGGATCTGCAAATACGCTAAATATTTTCACAAATAAAAAAAAGATCTGTGAATATCTCTTTAACATTTACAACTTTCGATCAGGCATTTGTGAATCCATTTTGTATTTGTGGACCAAAAATGCGCTTGCAGATCTCAAATCTCTGCTCGTGGATCTCACATTTCTGCTTGTGGATCGTCTTTTTACACACACAGAATTTTGAGACATATTTTCCGCCGCTCTTTTCTAAAATCTACTCGTGTCACTCGGTTATTTTCGGAAACCACGTGATGGTCTGCTGATGACGACATTTCCGCATGATTTCAAAGTAAGAGCATGATGGTTTGTTTAATGCTGTTTTTTTATTATAATGAACAGCGGAACGTTAGATGCATTCTTTATCATCATCATCATCATCATCATCATCATCATCATCATCATCATCATCATCATCATCATCATCATCATCATCATCATCATGTTATAGTGATACAGTTAGTTTATTGGTTCAATACAGCATATATCGAGCACTTTCGTTGATGTTGAAGTACAGGCTATACGCCACTTTCGGATCCCGGGGGGAGCAGCTGGCAGCGAAGCAGCCCAGATAAAACTCTTTCTTCATTGTTTGTTGTGTATTCAGTCAAGCGGGTCAAAGTTACAATGTAAAATTGTAAGTACAATGTAAAGCCCTGTGCTCTGCAGGTGCCGGTAAAGAGCAATACAATGACAAAACCTCTCCAAACAAAACCACTAGTTGGTCGGTAGGCAGGCAGGTATAGGTAGGTAGGCAGACAGACAGACAGACAGATAGACAGACAGATAGATAGACAGGTAGATAGACGGATAGATAGATAGACGGACAGATAGATAGATGGATATCATACTGTATATAGATAGATACTTCATTCATCCCAAATTGTGAAATGTGTGGAAACAAGTATAAACACAATAACATTAAATACAAATGAAAGCAATAGACAGGAATATATGCATATATAGTAGAAAGGACACGATGAATATTATAACATTTAATGTAGCCTTACTATGAAGGCTGACCTAAATACGGTGCTTTTCTACAGATTACTTTATTACTGCACTGGTAAAGTAAAATTAGGCCGATTAATAAGATGTGAAGTGCTTTGTAACTTTGACCCGCTTGACTGAATACACAACAAACAATGAAGAAAGAGTTGTATCCTGGGCTGCTTCGCTGCCAGCTGCTCCCCCGGGACCCGAAAGTGGCATATAGCCTGTATTTCAACATCAACTAAAGTGCTCGATATATGCTATATGGATCCAATAAACTAACACAAACTAACTGTATCACTATAACGATGATGATGATGATGATGATGATGATGATGATGATGATGATAAAGAATGCATCTAACGTTCCGCTGTTCATTATAATAAAAAAACAGAGCATTAAACAAACCATCATGCTCTTACTTTGAAATCATGCGGAAATGTCGTCATCAGCAGGCCATCACGTGGTTTCCGAAAATAACCGAGTGACATGAGTAGATTTTAGCCGAGACCGGCGGAAAATATGTCTCAAAATTCCGTGTGTGTAAAAAGACGATCCACAAGCAGAAATGTGAGATCCACGAGCAGAGATTTGAGATCCGCATGCGCATTTTTGGTCGACAAATACAAAATGGATTCACAAATGCCTGATCGAAAGTTGTAAATGTTGAAGAGATATTCACACATCTTTTTTTTATTTGTGAAAAAAAATAGCGTATTTTGCAGATCCGTTTTACATTTGCAAATGTATTTGTGAGTTTGCAAATCTTTTAAATGCATTTGTGGATGGTGTTTTACATTTCCAAATCACATATTTACACACAAATTATTTGTATGTTCACGCAAATAATTATGAGACATATCTATGCCCATAGGCGAGACATATACCACGTGATGACACTTTATGCTCGTGTTGTGTTCAAGGACCATGAACTTGGCCAGGAAAAACAGGCACTCACTTGTTTAATTATTTTGCGGTCTAGATTTCTTTAATTTTTTTATTTTTTGCGTGTGTTTATAAATTACCTCGAGGGTAAAGATTAAAGTTAATTTGTTTGTTCTAAACTGTATTAAAGTAAACATGTATTATTTTAAACTGTATTGAAGTGAACATGTATTATTTGGGACTGTTTTAAAGTAATCCTATATATATAACCTTCTCACTTACACTCACTGACCCAGATACCAGCACACCAGTGGCGAGCCGTCAGGGCCCTCTAGGCCCTCTGTGAGGGCCTAAGATATTCTACAAAATAATATTTAAAAACATTAAAAAAAATAATATTTTTTTGTTGTTATATTTTTAGTTATATTTTTCATTAGTTTTACCAAAATAACTTGATTTAATTGTATTTAAAATAACATTTCCAAAGAAATAAATCCTTCGAATCTGCCTATTCAGTTTCTGTTGGAATGTGAAGGGTTAAATGAAAGAAGCTCGTCTCTACGAGTTACTGTGAAGAGACGAGCTGTTGGACGTCCAGGTGGTCCAGCTATGAATTCACAGAGGGCCCAGCTATAGTAACTGAACGAGAGAGTAATGTCAAATGACAGTACAATTGACCAATCATATCTTCCCTCTAAATGGGTGGGTGTTATTATCGCGGACTTTATGACAAGTTCCGCCCGCTGTGAAACTTTTCTTGTTTCCATAACAACAACAACCTCCTGTCAACAGGAGTTATTTTGTTAACTCGCCTTCAAAATAAAAGCATGCCAAATTACACTTAAGACATACAACTGAAACGAAAGTAACAAACACAATGCAATATCCTTTTCAATTTCAAAGAACACAAATAGGGTTATTTACAGGTGTTGTTTTGTGTGGTAGAGGGTCGCTTTCATTGATGCGTTTTGCACCCCGGGCCGTTGTTTTGATATTCCGCTGAAGTATACGCTGTGACGTAATAACTCGAGGGAAGGGGTGGGGGTCAGAGGGCCTAGGTATAAAAGTCACGGCTCGCCACTGCAGCACACACACATATTCTTTTCAAGGTTCTGTCTGGGGCCAATATAATCTCAAGCACCAATATATCTGTGTACAATGTTTGATTGTCTGGGAAAGAATAGTTTGTGTGAAATATTCCTTGGGAAAGTAAAGGAGTGAATTCAGGTGCAAGATAAAGATTGACTCTGTCCTTGTTTACTTCCGAAGCTGTCGCGCTATGTTCAGAAGTAAAATACTTTTTCCCAGAACTCTGATTCGCTGTATTGGACCCGACCAGAAGTGAATCCAACCAGTAAGAACACCTAGGGGAGTGAGCAACCACACAACCCCTCCCCACGGACTCTCTGATTCGCTTAGGAGTAAAATGGGACTGAAGAGCCGACACAACTCTGCCCCAAATATGTCTATATATACTGTTGTTTATTCATGCAAAATGCCCCCTGTTTCTGACTGGCTGGTCCCGATATCTGTATCGCACAGCAGTAG